CTTAGGCTTAGGCTCTTAGGCTTAGGCTTAGGCTTAGGCTTAGGCTTAGGCTTAGGCTTAGACTTAGGCTTAGGCTTAGGCTTTATGCTTAGGCTTAGGCTAAGGCTTAGGCTTAGGCTCTTAGGCTTAGGCTTAGGCTTAGGCTTAGGCTTAGGCTTAGGCTTAGGCTTAGGCTTAGGCTTTAGGCTTAGGCTTTTAGGCTTAGGCTTTGGCTTAGGCTAAGGCTTAGGCTTAGGCTCTAAGGCTTAGGCTTAGGCTTTAGGCTTAGGCTTAGGCTTAGGATTAGGCTTAGGCTTAGGCTCTTAGGCTTAGGCTTAGGCTTAGGCTTAGGCTTTTTGGCTTAGGCTTTTAGGCTTAGGCTTTTAGGCTTAGGCTTTTAGGCTGAGGCTCTTAGGCTTAGGCTTAGGCTTAGGCTTAGGCTTTTTGGCTTAGGCTTTTAGGCTTAGGCTTTTAGGCTTAGGCTTTTAGGCTGAGGCTTAGGCTTAGGCTTAGGCTTAGGCTTTAGGCTTTGGCTTAGGCTTAGGCTTAGGCTTAGGCTTAGGCTTTTAGGCTTAGGCTTAGGCTTAGGCTTAGGCTTAAGCTTGGCTAAGGCTTAGGCTTAGGCTTAGGCTTAGGCTTTTAGGCTGAGGCTTAGGCTTAGGCTTAGGCTCTTAGGCTTAGGCTTAGGCTTAGGCTTAGGCTTAGGCTTTTAGGCTTAGGCTTAGGCTTAGGCTTAGGCTCTTAGGCTTAGGCTTAGGCTTAGGCTTAGGCTTTTTGGCTTAGGCTTTTAGGCTTAGGCTTTTAGGCTTAGGCTTTTAGGCTGAGGCTTAGGCTTAGGCTTAGGCTTAGGCTTTAGGCTTTGGCTTAGGCTTAGGCTTAGGCTTAGGCTTAGGCTTTTAGGCTTAGGCTTAGGCTTAGGCTTAGGCTTAGGCTTAAGCTTGGCTAAGGCTTAGGCTTAGGCTTAGGCTTAGGCTTTTAGGCTGAGGCTTAGGCTTAGGCTTAGGCTCTTAGGCTTAGGCTTAGGCTTAGGCTTAGGCTTTTAGGCTTAGGCTTAGGCTTAGGCTCTTAGGCTTATGCTTAGGCTTAGGCTTAGGCTTAGGCTTAGGCTTAGACTTAGGCTTAGGCTTTACGCTTAGGCTTAGGCTTAGGCTTAGGCTTAGGCTTAGGCTCTTAGGCTTAGGCTTAGGCTTAGGCTTAGGCTTAGGCTTTAGGCTTAGGCTTTTAGGCTTAGGCTTTGGCTTAGGCTAAGGCTTAGGCTTAGGCTCTAAGGCTTAGGCTTAGGCTTTAGGCTTAGGCTTAGGCTTAGGCTTAGGCTCTTAGGCTTAGGCTTAGGCTTAGGCTTAGGCTTTTTGGCTTAGGCTTTTAGGCTTAGGCTTTTAGGCTTAGGCTTTTAGGCTGAGGCTTAGGCTTAGGCTTAGGCTTAGGCTTAGGCTTTAGGCTTTGGCTTAGGCTTAGGCTTAGGCTTAGGCTTAGGCTCTTAGGCTTAGGCTTAGGCTTAGGCTTAGGCTTTTAGGCTTAGGCTTAGTCTTAGGCTTAGGCTTGGCTAAGGCTTAGGCTTAGGCTTAGGCTTAGGCTTAGGCTTTTAGGCTGAGGCTTAGGCTTAGGCTTAGGCTTAGGCTCGTAGGCTTAGGCTTAGGCTTAGGCTTAGGCTTAGGCAAGTAGGCTTAGGCTTTTAGGCTTAGGCTTTTAGGATTGGCGGAGGCTTAGGCTTAGGCTTAGGCTTAGGCTTAGGCTTAGGCTTAGGCTTAGGCATAGGCTTAGGCTTTTAGGCTTAGGCTTAGGCTGAGGCTTAGGCTTAGGCTTAGGCTTAGGCATAGGCTTAGGCTCTTAGGCTTAGGCTTAGGCTTAGGCTTAGGCTTAGGTTTAGGCTTAGGCTTAGGCTTAGGCTTAGGCTTAGGCTTTAGGCTTAGGCTTTTAGGCTTAGGCTTTGGCTTAGGCTAAGGCTTAGGCTTAGGCTCTAAGGCTTAGGCTTAGGCTTTAGGCTTAGGCTTAGGCTTAGGCTTAGGCTTAGGCTTTAGGCTGTGCTTTGCTTTGCTCATCTGTGCTAAGTGGCAGCCCACCAGGCTGCTAGGCTGCTAAACTGTTAGGCTGCTAAACTGTTAGGCTGCTAGGCTGTTAGGCTGCTAGGCTGTTAGACTGCTAGGCTGTTAGGCTGTTGAGGGAGTTGGGGTGGCGAGAAAGAGGAAGAGAGGCGTGAGGATGTGAAAGAGCAGATGCTAGCTGGAGAAGAGACTAGTCCTGCTGCTGCACGGTGCACGGTGCATTCGCCCTGCTGCTGCATCTTCTCTCCAAGTTACCTCTTGTCTTGTGTTCTCCCCACCGAAGGGCAGGCAGGTTCACAAAGAGCAATCCGCCACACTCCAGAGCTTGAAGGCTGAGAGGAACACTCACAGCCATTCACACACGCACACGCACACATGCACGCCCCCACCCCCCTTCCCCCCATCCCCCCTTCTCCCCACACGCACATGAACAGTCCCCGTCCATTCCCGTTCGCTGCCATTCCCGTCCGTCTCGCAGGACGTGAGGGACACACACGCATGGGGAGAGAGAGAGACAGCCACACATACGAGGCACAACAAGGGAGGGTTAGAAGCAGCAGGAGGGGAGTGGCGGAAGCAAGGGCAACAGACACGACTCTTGCCTCTGCGCGGCAACACCCTACGACTCACTTCACGGCCCCCCTGCAAGTACCCCCTGGCACGTACCACGCTCCGTCTGCCGCTCGCCCACTCCTGCGCCATGCCTTCACTTGAGGCGTGCTGCTCTGGGCCATGCCTTCCCTTCAGGCGTCCCCATGCTGCCATTGCTCTCCGTCTCACATGCCACCAGACACACACACATGTGGAGAGAGACACACACACGCATGGGGAGAGAGATACACACACACATGGGGGGAGAGACTAACACACAGAAGCAGCGCAATAAAGGAGGGTTAGAGGCAGCAGGTGGCGAGTGGTGGACCCGCAAGCAACAGACACGACTCTTGCCTCTGCGCGGCGACACCCTACGACTCACTTCACGGCCCCCCTGCAAGCACCCCCTGGCACGTACCGCCACTGCTGGTGCTGCTGCTGCTGCTGCTGCAAGTGCTGCAAGTGCTGCTGTCCATGCTGCTGGTGCTGTCGTACGAGTGATGGAAGAGAGGAACGCAGAGATGAGGAGAGGGCAGGAGAGGAGGGGTTTGAGAGCCGGACAGAGGGGCATGAACATCTGGCAACACAGTAGCAGAGACGTATGGGTACTTTGAAAAAATGGCAGACAAGAAAGAAGGGCACAACAGGGAATGAGAATGGCGAAGTGGCATGCCAGTTGATCTGGTCCACTCACAAGTACTTGTGTGCAGTTGTGAGTGGACAACTCATCCTGCAGTTGTTGCATTCACTGGTGATCCCTGCGTTTTGCATCCACTTCCCCTTTGAGTGCTGGAGAGAGGGGAGGAAGGATGGAGAGAGAGAGAGACGAGAGGAACTTGAAGAGTGGCATGAGCAAGGAGAGGAGACGCGAGTGGATGAGAGGCTGAGGATGTGAAAGAGTATTGACATGCCAGCTGGAAAGAGCATTAACATGCCAGAAGAAATGGTAAATGGCAGCCAGAGACGGGGCTGAGACAAGACGCAACGGAGAATGCATTCGCCCTGCTGCTGCATCCTCACTCTTGGTTAACTCTTGTCTTCGAGAAGCAAGCAACGGATGTTGTTCACAACGCACTCCACGGCTCGGAGCCTGAGAGACACACTCACAGGCATGCACACGCACACAAGGACAGGCACCGCCCCCCCAACCCACCCCTACTCTCCCCCTCCCAACCCCCCCCTTCCACCCCTCCCCCCACCTCCTCACAATCATGGGGATAGAAAACACACACACAGAAGCGGCAAGGGAGGGTTAGGAGCAACAGGAGAGGAGGCGAGTGGCAGAAACATGAACAAGAGACACGACTCTTGCCTCTGCGCGGCGACTCACTTCACGGCCCCCCTGCAAGCACCCCCTGGCACGTACCACGTTCCCTCCGCTGCTCTCCCAGTTTTGCGCCACACCTTCACTTGAGGCGTCCCCGTGCTGCCATTGCTCTCCGTCTCATAGGCCACAATGCACACACACACACACGGGGAGAGAGAGAGACACACACACGGGGAGAGAGAGAGACACACACAGGGGAGAGAGAGAGACACACACACGGGGAGAGAGAGAGAGACACACACACGGGGAGAGAGAGACACGCACATGGGGGGAGAGAGACACACACACATAGAAGAAGGTTAGAAGCAGCAGGTGGCGAGTGGTGGACCCACAAGCAACAGACACGACTCTTGCCTCTGCGCGGCGACACCCTATGACAGTTCACGCCCCCCTTGCAAGCACCCCCTGGCACGAACCATGCTACTTTCGCTGCTCTCCCACTCCTGCGCCACGCCTTCACTTCACGCGTGCTGCTCCAGGCGTGGTGCTCCAGGTCAACTGGTTGGTCTGATGGACTCACAACTCCTTGTGTGCTGGCCTGCCCATCATCCTGGCCATGAAGGGGGGAGAGCGAGGCGAGGGGATCATGATAACTGCATACAGTAAGACAAGAGAACGAGCCAAGCCACGTAGACATGTGTTAAGGGAGACGGGTAAGATTTGAGACACCTGACAATAGCCCGGGCGGCATTAAACAACCAACAAATAGAGGGAACTTGGTTGCGATAGGATAATCTGCACTCACCCCTCCTTTTCTGCTGCAGCCGCCACTGCAGCTGCCATTGACGTTGCAACTGATGCAAGCACCACTGGCACCACTGCCACCGCCGCCACCGCTGCCCATGCGGCTGGTTCTGGACAAAAGATGCGGCACTTGGCTATGTCTCACTCCTCCACTGCTGCTGCTGCCAACGGCGTGCGCTCTGGATAAAAGCTGCTGATGAATGGGCGGAGAGTTGAGAAAAACAGACGGCAGGAGTGGAGAGGTTTTAAAGCTGAGAAGAGTGCCACGAAAGTCTGGCAGCACACCAGCAAAGATATGTGGGCACTGTCGAAAAATGGTAGACATGACCAAACTAAACACGAGAACGAAAGAAGACGGCGAATCGAGAAGCGGTGTACTGGCTGGTCTGATGGACTCACAATTTCCTCCCGCAGCTGTTGCAGCCACTGGTGATCCCTGCGTTGCTGCAGCCACTGGTGATCACTGCCCCTAGAGTGCTGGAGGTGAGGGGAGGAAGGAAGGCCAGGAAGAGGAAGCGAGGCCTGGGCAAGAAGAGACAAGCGAGTGGATGAGAGGCCGAGCAGAAGCGAGTGGATGAGAAGCCGAGCAGAAGCGAGTGGATGAGATGGCAGACGAAGGCTGGAGAAGGGACTGAGATAGAATGCAATGCATGGTGCATCTGAACTCCCGGTTACCTCTTGACTGGAAGAAACTTAGCAGGAGAATCAAGGCGCCGTTTCTCCTCGATGAATGGTTGCCTCTCGTCCATTGCCCGTCCGCTCCCTCCCCCTCCGTCTCGCAAGCCGTGAGGAACAAACACGCATGAGGAAAGAGACAGCCACACAGAAGCGATGCAACAAGGGAGGGTTAGAAGCAGCAGGAGAGGAGGCGAGTGGTGGAGGCAAAAGCAACAGACACGACTCTTGCCTCTGCGCGGCGACGCCCTACGACTCACTTCACGGGGCCCCACCAAGCACCCCCTGGCACGTACCACGCTCCGTCTGCCACCCTGCCGCTCTGCCTGCAGCACGCCTTCTCTGCTAGCGTGCTACTCCAGGCTGCTCTGTTGCTGCTCCGCCAAGCCTTCGCCCCAAGCAGCGCCCTGCCACTGCCCGTGCTCCTGGTTGCTCCGTTGCTTCTGCCACTGCTGCGGTCGTTGCTGCCGTCTCAACCACCGGTCGCTGCAGGGAGGAGGAGAGGACCAGAGAGGAGGGGTTAGGGAGCTGAGAAGAGTGGCATGATCATCTGAGAGCACCGCTGCAAAGACTCATGACACCGTGGAAACTGGTAGACAAGAGAGAACGGAACACAGAAAGCAGGAAGATGGTGAAAAGTGAAACGTGAAAAGTTAAAAGTGCAAAGTGAATTGGTGAACCGCTTGACCAGATTCACTCACAACCTCTTGTGTGCTCGCCATCATCCTGCAGTCGCTGCAGCCACTGGTGATCCCCGTCCACTCGCTGCCACCTCGTCCACTCGCTGCCACCGCGTCCACTCGCTGCCTCCCCGTCCACTCGCTGCCACCCCCATCCACTCGCTGCCACCCCCGTCCGTCTCGCAGCAGAACATGAGACACACACACGCATGAGGACAGAGACAGCCACACAGAAGCGGCGCAATAAGGGAGGGTTAGGAGCAACAGGAGAGGAGGCGAGTGGCAGATACAAGAAGAAGAGACACGACTCTTGCCTCTGCGCGGCGACTCACTTCACGGCCCCCCTGCAAGCACCCCCTGGCACATACCACTCCTGCGCCATGCCTTCACTTCAGACGTGCTGCTCCAGGTTGCTCCCCTTTCTCCCCTTTCTCCCCTTTCTCCCCTTTCTCCCCTTTCTCCCCTTTCTCCCCTTTCTCCCCTTTCTCCCCTTTCTCCCCTTTCTCCCCTTTCTCCCCTTTCTCCCCTTTCTCCCCTTTCTCCCCTTTCTCCCCTTTCTCCCCTTTCTCCCCTTTCTCCCCTTTCTCCCCTTTCTCCCCTTTCTCCCCTTTCTCCCCTTTCTCCCCTTTCTCCCCTTCCTTTCTCCCCTTCCTTTCTCCCCTTCCTTTCTCCCCTTCCTTTCTCCCCTTCCTTTCTCCCCTTCCTTTCTCCCCTTCCTTTCTCCCCTTCCTTTCTCCCCTTCCTTTCTCCCCTTTCTCCCCTTTCTCCCCTTCTCCCTCTCCCCTTTCTCCCCTTTCTCCCCTTTCTCCCCTTTCTCCCCTTTCTCCCCTTTCTCCCCTTTCTCCCCTTTCTCCCCTTTCTCCCCTTTCTCCCCTTTCTCCTCGCAGGACAGTCGTCTCTCGTGCAAGCCAGCAACGGCAGCCGTGTCGATTCCCCGTCCACTTGCTGCCATTCCCGTCCGCCTCACAGGCCGTGAGGCACACACACGCACGCACGGGGAGAAAGGGACGCACACACACAGAGGCGGTGCAACAAGTGATGGTCAGAAGCAGCAGGAGGTGAGTGGCGGAAGCAAGGGCAACAGGCACGACACTTGCCTCTGCGCGGCGACACCCTACGACTCAATTCACCCTGGCACATACCACACTGTGTCCGCTGCTCTGCCACTCCTGCACCACGCCTTCCCTTCACGCCTGCTGCTCCAACTTGCTCCAGGTTTCTCCGTTGCTCCGGCTGCCCATGCTCGCAGGCCGTGAGGCACACACACGCACGGGGAGAGAGACACGCACACACAAGCGGCACCAACCAACAAGGGAGGGTTGGAAACAGCACGAGGCGAGTGGCGGAGTCAAAAGCAAGGACACGACTCTTGCCTCTGCGCGGCGACGCTCTACGACTCACAACACTCCCCCCTGCAAGCACACCCTGGCGCGTACCACACTCTGTCCGCTGCTCTGCCACTCCTGCACCACGCCTTCCCTTCACGCCTGCTGCTTCAAGTTGCTCCAGGTTGCTCCGTTGCTCCTGCTGCCCATTCTCGCAGGCCGTGAGGCACACACACACACGCACGGGGAGAGAGACACGCACACAGAAGCGGCACCAACAAGTGAGGGTTAGAAGCAGCAGGAGGCGAGTGGCGGAGTCAAAAGCAAGAGACACGACTCTTGCCTCTGCGCGGCGACGCTCTACGATTCACTACACTCCCCCCTGCAAGCACACCCTGGCACGTACCACGCATGCTCCTTCCGCTGCTCTGCAGCTCCTGTGCCACGCCTTCACTCCACACCTTCGACTCTTCACTGGTGCGACCTCGTTCGGACGCTGCAGCGTTCACTGGCGACGGCCCGAATCGCGTGCTTCGGAGTTAAACGCACACATGCAGAGGGGAGAACGAACGCGTTAAAGAGAGGGTAGATATTCACACATGACGCGAAGAGGAAAAACGACGATTCTCTTTAGGCGTTCCTATACTAGACTCTTACAAGAACCCCCCCCCCCCCCCACAGATTTCGCTCTCACATACCTTTGTTCTTCCCCTGATCTTTCAAAAAGAACGCCTGAGCGGTTCGAACGACGCTGCTCCTGACGGCCACGTCATGTAAAACTTCGATCTCCCGGAAAGTGTTTGGCGCAACCTTAGTCGGACGCATAAGAGATTGCGACGACCCGAATCCCGTGCCTCCGAGTTAATCGCACACATGCAGAGGGGAGTTCAAGGAGCACAGGGAGATAAGGAACGTACACGCGTTAGTGGGAGGGTAGATTCAAACATGACGCGAACGGGGAAAGCGACGAGACTCTCTAGGCGTTCCTATTCTAGACGCTTACAGGAATCCCCCCCCACAGCCTTCGCTATCACGTACAGTTGATCGCGTGCGAAATCCTAGGGAACGCCGAAGAAGTCGATGCGACCGCATGCGATCCGCATGGTGCAATCTCCGGCGCAATCTCCGCACGTGTTTTGCGGCGTCTCACACTTGACGCATCGAAACGTCCTCCTGCGACGACCTGCGTCTCGCACCTCGTGACGGCCAGAAATCGGACACAATAAAAAGCGCTGCTTGCGATTCCGGTCGGCGAACACCTATGCTGCCGTTTGCGAACAGCTGCGAACGCTGCTTCCCGCCGCTTATTCGTATTCCGGAGAATGATGCGTTGTTCCCGGCCAGCAATCTCGACGGCCGACTGTCAGTGCCGTCCGGTCGGAGCCTGACGTCGATGCTGCTCCTACTGCTGCCTCGGTCTCACGGGTGTTTGAGACCTACCAGTTTCGACGGTGGAGCATTTACTCCGTCACTCGGACTGGAGGATCCGGTACTCGCTCAAAGCTAACCCAAGACCGGCCGAAACAACCGCATCCGTCGCGCGAGGCTCTCATGATCCAGACGACCATCTACAGCTGTTGCGCCTTGTCGTCTTTTCCCCGCGTCACTTCACTCTGGAGTTTCGCAGGTCGCTGGAGGGCAAGCAAAGACAGCCAGAAACCTGAAAAGGTGTCGAGCTGCGGTTACTAGCTGCTGTGCGACGCCGCCGTCGCGAAGATTTTCGCTAAGAAGCCTTGCTGGGCGTCGCAACTGTCGTATTTCAGCTTGCGACGGTGCATCAGGGAAAAATGATTCTCAGATTAAACTGTATGAACGCTGAGCCTAGCTGAATCTACGTTACCACGAGCAGCAGCGATTAGGCCGTTTCTTCTAAAAGTCACCCTTCGCTAATCAAAGACGAAGACGACAATAGGGCCTTGTTCTAAGGAGCTGAATGTCTAACATTCATGCGGAAGTCGCAACGCAGCACCAGCAGGCAGCTGATTAATGCGAAAGCTCCTGGTAACCGATAGAACCCGTACACGAACCACAGGCTAAAGACAAGTTAAAGTACTCGATAACTATTCAGTAGTAACTTATCGATCTAATCGGCTCGAACCGTAGCCGTACTGTTGCAGAAGCTAAGAGACGAGAAGTCGGAGATTAATCTTCCGAGGAGAGCTACCAGGTCCAGTGACTTTCATTGTGAGCAATGAATGGGCAGAGAGGAAAGCCTTGGGAATGCCTTGGAAGTTCAGCCGCTGAGGAAAGCAACGCTGCACAGTCGTGTGACGGCAAGGGCGGCATACTGCATGGGGGTGAGAGTCCATGATTCATGAACCTCTGAGTTTTCGGCTAAGCTCGCTGGCCCGCGCTTCGTTGGTGTGGGGGCTTTCTGACATGCTCGTGGGTTGATTGGCGGAAGTTGCGCGCCAAAAAGCTTCCCAGTTTGAAAGCTTTTGGCGGATTCTCGCTGTAACGTGGCTCGGTACGGTATCGCCCGCGATGCCTTCACAAACTATGTTGGTCTGTCTCGCTTTGTGAAAGCCATCAATAGCACCATTCGAATATCTTTGGACACTAGTACCATTGGGGAATGGGTTGAAATTATAGGGAAAAAACTCTGGTATTCATTTATGGTTTGCCATCATCCAGGATGCATGTACATCTGCAAGCAAGCGGTAGACCCTGAAATTTTAGAATTATCAGGCGGAGGTGGAATGTCCATGAAACAATTATGGCAGGTAGTTGTGGCAATGTGGTGACGCAACATAGATGTTGAGGCACAGGGGAAGTTGTGGTTACACATACTGCCTGAGTGGTATGTGTACCTGGTAGCATGGCTAGCCTGGTTACCGCTCTTGTCACTGCTCCAGCATTAGAATCTGGGAATGTTTCAACATACCCCCGAGCGTGACCATTCCTGTACTGCAACAGGATGTGAGCATTTGCTGTTTCCTGTCAGTCCTATCCATCCCAGTTTCGGGAGTTTTCCTAGCTCATGTATGGCTGGTTGTGTAGGTGCTGTGCATGCACCACATGGCTGTGTCTCCAGCACTTACACTTTCTCACCATCGTCGCTTGTGTGCCTCTCATCTCAACTTCACTCTCACTCAGCTCAGAACCGCAGACTAAGGCCCAGCCCGTAGCAGCCAAGTCATCATGGCACGGCACAGCACAGGACCTGGAGGCCACTTTGTCCTGCTTGGGAGTTTCTGCCCACTGTGTACTCTGTTTGGGCATCATGGCACGGCACATTACCTGCAGGAGAACGCTCTGCCCTGCTTGAGTGCTTGTGCCCAGCAGCCTTCCAGGTTGCGCAACCCACCCACCTAATCTACAGCATGCAGGCCCATCCCAGCACAGCACAGCGCAACACAGCACACCTAAGCAAAGATAAGCACGCCTAAGCAGACCTAGTCAAAGATATGCACACTTAACCACGCCTAGCAAATCCAAGGACAGGTAATCAAGCACGGGTGAGCACAGAAGCGGCGCATGTTGAGTTGTTGGCGGCCGATCATCATGCGGCAGTGGCAGTCCTCTACCTCGCCCTGCACATCACCAGAGGAGGGCCAGCCAACAGGACAACAATGACACATGGAAGAAAGGGGAGGACAGAGATCAGGGAGAAGGAAACCAGTAGTCAGTGTCAGACAGCCTTGTGAAGCACTAAGTGAGAAATGTACGCTTGCAAGGGCAGCAAATCCCCCTTGCAGAAGCAAGAGGCACTGCTGTTGCTGCCACCGCTGTTGCTGCCACCGCTGTTGCTGCCACTGCTTTCCCCACAGTTGTTGGCAGGGACATGAATGGGACATGGAGAGGGGAGGGAGACCAGGACACAGAAAGAAGGGAGGACGAGCAAGATGAGAAAGAAAAGGGGAGGACGAGCAAGATGAGAAAGAAAAGGGGAGGACGAGCAAGATGAGAAAGAAAAGGGGAGGACGAGCAAGATGAGAAAGAAAAGGGGAGGACGAGCAAGATGAGAAAGAAAAGGGGAGGACGAGCAAGATGAGAAAGAAAAGGGGAGGACGAGCAAGATGAGAAAGAAAAGGGGAGGACGAGCAAGATGAGAAAGAAAAGGGGAGGACGAGCAAGATGAGAAAGAAAAGGGGAGGACGAGCAAGATGAGAAGGATCAAAGGAGACGAGTGAGGCAATGAGGCAATGAGGCACTGGACACGGACGCAAACACTATTGAACCAGCCACTGAGAACACAAGAGGGAACTGGGAAGCACTAGGGTAAGCTGTAATTACCCTTTCATTGCTGTAGCCGCAACCACTGCCTTGGTCGTTGATGCTACCACGGCAGCTGGTGCTGCCACTGGTGCCACCGCTGGTGCCCGTGCTGCTGGTGCTGGATATAAGGGCATGTCCTTCTGGAGAGCAGAGAAGAAGAGAGGAGGGAAGAGAAGAAGAGAGGAGAGCAGAGATGAGACAAGATGAGGATAGGAAAGGAAGAGTTTGAGAGATGAGCGGAGAGACAAGAAGCAACACTTGGTGCACTTTCACTGCTGAGACAAGAAGCAACGCATGGTGCATTCGCGCTGCTGCGGCATCGTCATCCCCAGTTACCTCTTGTGTTGGAAGAGAAAGCAGCTTGCTGTACCAACATCCCTTCAGGCGTGTTGCTCCGTTGCTGCCGCTGCCCGTGCTTGTAGGTCATGAGGCA